TAAAAGCAGTTGTAATAAAACTGCCATAATACTAAACAAAACAGTATGCAGGCCACAAAGGAAAAAGCTTAGAAAGGATGATAACCCTTGAAATAAAAGCCCAGGTAAAAACGTTTTACTCAGTAGAGTAGCTGCCAAGTGAGCCTTGTGGGGGGGGGGGGCGGAGGCATTACAAGTGTGAGGCACCATCACTGAGAAAGCTCTGTCTCTAGTGCCACTCACATCCCCTCTGCAGGCAGGGACACAGACAGCAGGGACAGAGGAAAGCTGGCAGCTGATCCATGTGGAATAGGGTGGTCCTTCAGGTGCCCCATCCCAAAATGTTCAGGGCCTTGTAGGCCAGCATTGTAAATTATGTCCAGAAAAAAATTAGCCAGTGCAGATCTTTTAGTGCAGGACTGATATGATCCTTGTATCCAACACCCAACATCAACCTGGCAGCTGCATTTTGTACTGTTTGAAGCTTCTGGACAGCTTTCAAAGCTAGTCCCACTTAGAGCACATTACAGTAATATGGATGTGATGAGGGTCTGGATCACTGTTGCCAAGTCATACTTTTCAAGGAACAGTCGGAGCTGGTTTATCAGCTGAAGCAGATAAAAGGCACTACCTGCCATGGAGGAGACCTGAGCTTCTGACAACAGGCCAAGTTCTCATAGAAATCCCAGATTAAGAACCTGTTCCTTCAGGGGGAGTGTAGTCCTCTCAAGAGCAGGCTGACCCCTCAGTCTTCAAGCAGCTTTCACTGGCCATCTTGTCTGGAATGAGTTTAATCTTATTGACCTTGATTCATCCCATTACCTTCTCCAAGCATTTATCCAAGACCTGGCTCAACTGTTAGAAGTAGAGCTGGGTGTCATTTGTATATTGGTGACACTTCACTCCACATCTCTGGATGATCTCTCCCAGTGATTTCATATTAAATCACATAGTAGGCAGATGGACTCTCACAGGACCATAGGGTACAAATGCCAAGCATCCCCCCACAACCATCCTGCTTTGCTGTAATCTTTCCATCACCTGGCTTTGTATGATCAAAACACCTTTGGACACAGTATAGATGGGAAGATGTGCATTTTTGCCAATTCCTCCAACATTGTAGCTATTTTCTTTAACTTTGTCTCCATGGCAGCTATTCTCCCTACCACTACTAGAGGGCTTTTTTAAAAAAATTGGTAATAGCTAGATTGTTGCACTAGGACCTAGTGACTAGTTGGTAATAATGCTATCATAATATTATGGCAATGTACTAGTTCCCTTTTTTGAAAGTAAGTCTCTAGCCTTTTGGTTGCAATAATAAGTGAAAAGGTACAGGCTGCTTATTTCTCCTTATAACTCAACAGCCAAAAGGGGTAGAACTATAAAACAGGGGTGTCAAACATAAGGCCCGGGGGCCAAAACCAGCCTTTCCAGGGCTCTTATGCAGCCTACAAGCAACTAGTGCAAGGGAAGGAACAGAAGACTGCTTGGGGGGAAGTGGGCGGAGCCACTTCAATTCTGGCTTCAGCATGGTGGATCAGCCTCGTCTGCAGCTGTAAAGCCATGTGGGAGCATCTGCCCAGTGCTGCACTGCTGGCTCTCTAGTCTGCCCATATGAAATTTCCACTGCCCCCCCTTCCCAGCCCATGGGGCCTTGCAGTGAGGATACACCAACTCGGAGCTTACCAGCTGATGTCCTTTATACAGTATCTCCGGTACCTGGCACTATGTTTTATGGCACACATGGCCCGGCCTGACAAAGTGACATTTATGTCAGATCTGGCCCTCGTAAGTAACAAATGAGTTTGACACCTCTGCTATAAAATGAAAGCTGGGAAATAGTAGATCATGGCAATAGAGACCTATAAAATGATAATGCTACAATGATCTAACTACTACCATTTTTTTTAAAAAAGTCCTCCAGTGATGTCCTTTATACAGTATTTCTGGTACCTGGCACTATGTTTTATGGCACACATGGCCCGGCCTGACAAAGTGACATTTGTGTCAGATCTGGCCCTCGTAACAAATGGGTTTGACACCTCTGCTATAAAATGAAAGCTGGGAAATAGTAGATCATGGCCATAGAGACCTATAAAATGATAATGCTACAATGATCTAACTACTACCATTTAAAAAAAAAAAGTCCTCCAGTGGGAGGTATAAACAGCAGCCATGGAAGACTGAGGCAAGAAAAGAGAAAACTTTAGTGTTCACAGCAGGAGTGAGAGCTGCAAGAAGAATTGTTTCCATGTGGAAGGAGCCTTGTGCAGTTTATTTTGACTCCAGACCTGAATGGCCATAAACCAGTCTGGATTAGAATGAACAAATTTCAACTGCTGTGTACGTTTTAGATATTGCTGGCCTTGTGATACGTTTGCCAGATGCATGTTCTGAGCTACGAGATGAAACTACATATCACATAGATCCAGCTGGGCAGCCATGTTGGTCTGAAGCAGCAGAACAAAGTTTGAGTCCAGTTGACATCTTTAAGATCAAAAAAGTTTCATTCAAGGTATGAGCTTTCAGGAGCTCATACCTTGAATAAAACTTTGTTGGTCTCAAACTTTGTTCTATTACATGTAACTCTTTTTTTAAAAAAAAAATTCTTTCCCGAGTGCAGCTGCGAAGGCTTCTTCTTAAAGAGTATGGGAAGAGAAGGGCTTTTTAATCTTCCCTCCCATCGTGTTTTCTTCTTGAAAAAATGTTACCCAGTGAGCCATTCTTCCCATAGGTTCTACCATTGTGTTCCCCAGTGGAGGTCAAAGAGGTCTTAGGGTGGCGTTCTTCAATGGGAAACTTGGATGGAGAAGAGAAGAATCATCCCCACCCCTGCATGGTTTCTCCCCCTGGAAAAAGCAGCCACAGCAGCAGCAGCATTTGGGGGAAGAGTCTCGAGAACCTTCACAGAACTGAATCTAACTTGTAGTCCTCACCTCATAAACTCTTGAGAAGCCTCCAGAAATATTAGGGTTCATTAGTCTCCTGGGAAGCAAGAAACACAAGAATGTTCTGTCAAAGGGAACAGCACCATCCTGCCTCATGCAGATTTCCTGGAGAGGCGCCATAGAAGGGCTCTAAATAAAATAAAACCCATTCATGTAAAACAAATTTTAGTTGAGAAAGATACAAGATACAAGACATTAGGATAAAGTAGATGTAAGAAAAAGCATTTCTGCTTCATCTATGGGGGGATTTCCCTTTCTCTTCTGGGTGATATGAATTCCTTACCTTTGGGAAATTCTCAAACACAGCTTTTCCTTAGCCCACTTGGCCTTCTTCCCTTGCAAAATGACTTACCTGTCCTGGAATACAGGCAGAGCAAGGCAACAGAGCTAGATCACAGTCAAGAGTCCAGTCCAGAGATCAAATACCAGTTTAGCAGTAGTCAGAGTTTATGGGTTGTTCAGGAAAGCAGAGTCAAGGGTCAGTCTAAAGGTCACAGGAGACAGGCAGAATCCAGAGTTGTGTTCATGAACACAGGGTTGTAACAAGTTGCTTCCACAATCTGCAGTTCTCCAGGTCTGATTTATATAGGCATTCCTTAACACACCTGATTCACAGCCATTTGCTCGGAGGTGCTTCTGCACTTACTCAGAACTGCTATCATTAAGTAACTGGCGCCGAGCCAAGAGGCAAGCACTTGGTCTACGTGTTGTTAAGTCTTGTTGGAGCCTTTCCCTCCACTGTTCAATTAACAAAGGGGAGCCTGGTGGGCTAGTTTCTTGCAGCCGTGCTTCGTCAGCTACTTCAGAGCTATGCATGGAGAAACATCGATGAAGATGGTTTGGGATGAAGATGGTTTGGGATGCAAGCAAAGCTTTCTTTTCAGAGGACTGGCAATTAGATTTGCAGCAGAAAAGAAAAGGCAAAGTATGAGAACATTTCAAGGTATATTGGATGCTATTCAGAATAAAGAGAAAGAATTAAAGCTGGATCCTTCGAATGAACTTAAAAGATGAAGATTAAAATACTCCAGCATCACCTTAATCTACTCTTATCAGAAGAAATGGCAAAAAATATTAAATTTGTTAAACAGGATTATTTTGAAAATGCCAATAAACTGGGAAGATGGTTGGCTTATAAGTTAAGAAAAGAGAAAGAGAAAAAGATGATCCATTCATTGTATGATAAAGATATAAAAGAAGAATTTTCTAAGAATGGATTAAAGGAAATAATTCCAGATTTTTATACGCAAGTATATAAAAAAATGGAAATCTTCAAGGAAATCCAGAAACAGTATTTATGTAACCAGGACTTACCCACACTATCAGAAGAAAGCAGAAAAATGTTGAATGACCCTATAACAATTATGGAAATTACAGAGGCTATTAAGAAACAAAATGCAAATAAAGCACCTGGACCAGATGGACTCCCAGCTGAATACTACAAAATGTTTGAAGATGAAGAAGAGACAGATCCTAAAGAGATAAAAAAACACTACAGACCTATCTCTTTGTTGTATTGTGACTACAAAATGTTTGCAACTATTTTGGCTGTAAGGTTGAAAAAAGTTTTAATAGACTTTATACATCAGGACCAGGCAGGTATTTTACCTAAGAGACAACTAAAGAATAATGTGAGAACAGTTTTAAATATCTTAGAATATTACGAAACTCATCCTGAGAAGCAGATGGCTTTGATATTTTTGGATGCTGAAAAAGCATTTGACAATGTCAGCTGGCAATTTATTATTCAACTGATAAAGATAATGGATTTCAGGATTAATTTCATAAGGGTGATTGAAGCTATACACAAAGCAGAAAGCGAAAGTAGTAGTAAATAATGAATTGACTGATAATATATGGATTGAAAAAGGGACAAGACAAGGCTGTCCAATATCTCCATTGCTGTTTATATTAACTTTGGAAGTTTTGACAAGAGCTACTAGGAAAGACCCTTATTAAAGGGACATCAGTAAGAGGAAATAAATATAAACTACAGGCCTTTGCTGATGATTTGGTCTTAGAAGACCCAATGGATTCTGTACAACTGATGAATCTGATATTGAATATGGAAAAATGGCGGGAATGAAAATAAACTATCAGAAGACGAAAATGATTATGAAAAATATGACATTGAAACAAAGACTTGAAACTACAGAGTTGATTGGATTTCAACTGGAGAAGAAAATCAAATATTTGGGTGTTAATATTACAGTGAAATGTAGCTCCCTGATGAAAGACAATTATAACAAAGTGATGCAAGACATTAAAAAGGATTTAGAGAAATGGAAAAAATTGCAAGTATCCCTAATGAGCAGAATAGCAATTTTGAAAATGAACTTTTTACCACGTATGATGTTTTTATTTCAGACACTGCTGATATACATTAAACAAAATTATTTTGACGAATTGAATAAACTTACACACAATTTTATATGGCAAGGGGAAAAGCCAAGAATCAAATTGAAAGCCTTGCAAGATGCGAAAGATAATGCTGGATTTGGAGTACCAGACTGGAAGAATTATTATAGAGCAGCAAGTTTGGTGTGACAGAGAATGGATTCTACTTGAAGATCATAGGCTACTGGCTCTAGAAGGACATGATTTAAAA